TTACATAAGTATGTAAAGTGACACGTAGCGAGAAAAACCGATGGGGTCTTGGGGAGCAAAGGTTCTTTAATGGTGACCATGCACCGGATGACGCTTAGTGAGTAGACCAAACTGGTGGATCGATAATTTGGGTACTTCAATGGCATTACAAAACAATTTCTTACTGGTGCCTTGACGAATGAAATATCTTTTATTCTGCAGTTTGGTAACAAGAACTGCATCAAAAAGTTGCTATTTAAAAACCAATTAATAATTTATTTAATATTAGCAGAATTGAGAACCTGGTAAAGGTCGGAGTCGATTATAAAATTTCAGATATTTATTGAAAGCGCAGTAGATAGGCTCAGAAACTGTATAGAAAATAGGAAAATAACAATAGTAATCCATTACCCGTTTTTTTAAGATGAAGAGATCATTTTTATCTTCTTCAGAATTCATTCTGGTACTTATGTGGGTTAAAAAATTAACATCTTTCCGAGTCCGAGTCCTATCTCAGGAAGCCAGGGACCAAGTGGATTTTTAAGCATTTTTCATTGAAAATATTTTTCAGTAAAGTTTTGTGAATGCGAAGTTAATCAAATATAATAATAAGAATAAATTTCATCTTTCTCGAAAAGTTTAAATATTTGTAAAAATATTTCTTTCGGCTGTTTGAGTGAATTACCTGAACATTAATGAGAATATACTCTGTAGTAGCACAAAAGTAACAAGTGAGGGAAAGATTCGTCAGTCCTGTTAGGGTAGCTCAATGATTAGAACAGTTGCCCGGATTGCGAAAGGTCATTGGTTCGAGTCCCATCTCAGGGTGTCAGGGATGAAGTGGTTTATTTCATAATTTTTCGTTAAGCATATTTTTAAGTATAGCACTGTGAATGCAGAATTTATTAAATATAAACATATGTCATTTAAAACTAAAAACTAAATACGAGTATATTGAACAGTAAACGAACTAATTTCAGCTCGATCTGATTTATAGTTAGAGATGTACGTTGATAGATCAGTCAGTCAGTCATCTTTACCTTTATTATCTAAATACATAAAATAATCTGCCTGATTAAATGATTAGATTACCTTATCGGGAATTAATTATTTATTCTCAATCAACTTTTTTAAATCTTGAGGAAAAGTACTCAATTTTCCTCATTTTTTATTTTGTGTTTTGGTAAAAACGTCATAACAATCAATTTACTACTAGTACAAGTTTTTAATTTTATTTGTTAAAAATATATGCACAAGCTTTTGTCGCAGATTGTCATCGTGGTGTAGAAATTTTCAGTTACGAAATTTCATAAAAAGTTTCATCCCCTTCAACCTTTTTTATCGCGATAAAAGTAACCTATGTTCATAGATTAACTCTGTCTCTATACTCAAAACATACAGACAGAATTACTTTCTTATTTATGATAAAGATATGGATTAATTAGCAGTGCATAGTTAATAGCTAAAAATCAGATAAACCATGTCTACTGCAAAATCGCCGCCAGAAAGACGTTCATCTTCATAGTCAGATTTTCAATAGCTAACCGATAATAATTTGTTCACTACAGTGAAGAGACGTAGAGGGAGAGAAGAACAAGACAAAATGGACTTCCGTGATGAGGGTAAACAGTCCATGGCACGAATTTGTAACGACTATAATTATTTATCGAATAATATATTGAGCATTGACATATTTGGTGATAGTTTGAGTAAATTCAAATCGAAAATTCTCCGTTTTTTTGAGAACGATAATAATAATAATGTAGAATGATAATTGACCACTCGATTTTAGTTTTTTTATTATTGATTTTATTTCTAAATTTTTAAATTATTCTTATCAAATTTATTTAGTTAATAATTTTTATAATATTTTAAATAACTTTATTGTATTTTTTTAATTAATTATTTTGTATCACAAACTCATCTGACTTCAAATAAATTGACTGCGAATGCTATGTACGCCTTAATTGTAACATATATCAGACTTTTTTTTTAATTTAGAATAAGTTATAATTTAATTAATATGTGTTATGTGGCAGTAGTATATATAAATAAATAAAAAATAAATAGATACCTACTCATAATGTTATCAGATATTAAGAAAGATCAAGAATCTAAGTTTAAAAAATTCTATCAAAGAAACAACAGAACAAAACAGAAATTTACTACTGACACAAAAAAATATTGAAGAAAAGATGGAGAGTGTTACAACTAGTTACATAGAAAGTTGATACAATGGAAGCAGGACGTAAGACAATCCTCTTGAAAATTAATTACCTTGAAAAGTCTGTAGAAGTATTATTACGGGGTCAGAGCTTAACAGCTGTAGAGATACAGAACGTAAATGATTTAGAACATGACAAATTGGATGAAGCACTGCAAAGCTTTCACTATGCTGTAGGATTGAAATTCAAGCAACATATTCGTCAAGCATCTATTACATGAAAAGGTAAAAATAAACATATAGTGATAAACTACCAAGATGAAAACGACTGGCTACGACTATTTTTGTATCCACTATTACATAATTAATTCATAAACATACAATAAATCATAAAATATTACATAAAAACAGTGTCTAAAGCCTTGGGTGACTCCAAAATTGACGATGCAACATAGAATAGATTACAACAAAAACTAAGATTTGCTCAAGATAACAAAATATGAAGTCTAACATGCATTCGGTATCGTAAAACATGTAATAATTTATTAAACAAATTGAATAGGAATAAATAAAGGAATAAACTTTATTAAAAAAAAACAACATTAAAGAACACTGGTCAGTAGTTAAAAATGTCTGTTAACTTGATAAAAATAGTTTAATTTAAAATGCACGCCGCTCGATTCGTTAAACTATATAAATATTTTTTTCTCTGATATGGGTAAACTTTAGATATACTTTAGGGAATTGGTTCAAGTAAGCAGGACATGGCATCTAAATTGTTAGCTTCTTTTTCTGTACCTTTAAATTCTATGGTCCTTTACCGACGGATGAAAATGAGATAAAAACTATTATTAAAAGTTTGGAACCCAGTTCTAGGATGGACGGAATATCATTGAAGCTGTTGAAAGAAATGGGCATGGCTGTAGCTGTTCCTCTTACTAGATTTTTTAACTAATGTATGTCTTTAGGGATTTTTCCTGATTCATTTAAAAAAATCTAGAGTATTACCCATATTTAAGTCAGGTGAGAGGAATTATATAACTAACTATATAAAATATATAAAGATATGGAAAAAATAATAAACGCTAGGCTAAAGAATTACTTAGAAAAGAACTCGTTAATATCTTTAAATCAATGTGGTTTCCGATCGAATAAGTCCACTGTGGATGTTAACAAATGCTGAAATCATAACTTTTGCTGCCGATACTGTCATTATGTCCTCAGCTTAAAAATGGGATGAATTGGGTACACTTCGGATAGGAATTTTAAAATAGTTAAAACTGGCAAAATAAAAATTTATTAACCTTAAATAAAGACGAAACGTAGTATATGTCAGCATCTGTAGTGCACAATCGATATTGCGCATGCGCGTTATAGGGCTCTCAACACTTAGAAATTTAAAGTTTTATCTCCATTTTTACACCTCCTCTATTTTGAAATATTTGTCAAATAAAATGAACGTTTGCATGTAACCTAACTTGAAACTTTCAGCTGTGTCGGTCATTTTGTTGCTCCCTGTATATACAGTTAACTGACCTATATATATATTGATAAAATTTTATAGTGTTTTATCGGAGATATAATAGAAGTTATTTTTTGCGCAATATTATGCGTGTTTACTATTCACAGAACAGTAATTCTGATGTTTTTTTAATTTTTTAATATTATAGTCTTATTTATTAGGACTTACTATCAGATAAAAAATTACATACAAAAAAAGATAATTTAAGAATATACTATCTATGTACTTGATAGTCAATTGTGAAGTAAAAGTGAGCCAAAAATATAGTATTATCTGACAGTTTTACGTTTACTCTGAAGTCATTAACATTGCTACCAATTCTACCTATAACTATGACATAAGGAAACAACCCGAACGGGGCAAATGATAAGGGCTAAATTGTCTTATCGTAATGGGCGTAGTATTCATCGATATCTCTTTCGTCGTTACACCGCTGCTGGAGAATACTATGGGACAGTGTCACGGCGTAAAAACACTAATACGGTGGGTAGGAAATCCTAACTCGGTGGTTCACTTTTTTTCATTGTACCTACCTGCAAGTGAGAAGTATTACCTTTGTTACCTTTGAACAATAATGTTAATTGAATCACTGTACCAAATTATAAATAAATAAACTAAATAACCAGAGAAGCTTCACTTAAAATTCATTGTAAAATTAAGTATAAATACATATGTAAATCTTTATTTTGATATTATAAATATGAAAGTAGATCTGTCTGTTTCATTATTATAATGATTTCTACTTCACAAGAGGAGGGGGGGGGGGGTTAATTGCGAAGTCGACAAATTTTGTAAATAAATCAGTAATTAGTTTTATACCGAACGTTTTTATCATAAAGTAACTCTATTTGTCTCTGTTTTATGTTATTACGCCTAAACTACTGAATCGATTTCAATAAAATTTTGTAGTTAATTGAGAGATTTTATACCTTAAATAAGCATTTGTTGTAAAATATTAGAAACAGCTTAATTTAATGAAAGTATGTGTATTATTTTCAAAACAATTAGCCTAAAAGTAATGTGCTTAAGCTTGAAAAATGCAATTGAAAGTTACTATTCCACGCGGAATAAGTCGCGGGCACAACTAGTATAGTATCATTTGCATAATTTGCGTGCGTGAAAATCCAAGACGCCTAGTAGCGTATATAAATCCACATCCAATAGCAACACAACTCATTGATTTTTATATACACCTTTAATTTAATAATCTTTATATCACTTTGATTGTTCATATCTAATCTTTATTGCATTACAATCGGCATTTGAAGGGAAAATATTATTTACATTTTAAACGTGTACCAAATGTGGAGTGGACAATAAAATATTAAGTTTAAAATGTTTAAATTATTGTATTTTATTTTATTTTTAACATCAGTGAGAGGTGAATTTGAATTAAATATTCTCCATTACAATGATTTTCATGCAAGGTGAGTTACATTTTATATTTATTTTTATTTTAATCTACACCAATATCTAATATTAGAGCAAAGAATGGTTGTTTGTTTAATTGTATTGAAAAGGCACGAAAACTAAATATAATTAAGCGTTTTTCGCGATACCTATATGTAGATATTAACACTAAAAATAACAGATTTTTGTTAAGTTCAATAGCATTACTTTTCATAGAGAAATATCAAAACTTTTGAAATACTAAGAACATGATGAAGTCTATGCTATGACTTCAGTTATCAACGGAAAAAGGATTAATGCACTACTGAAATATATAAGAACTTTAGTGAATATAACATTTATTTACATATTTTATTAATTACACTAATTTGTCGTAAAAAGTACTATTACAAAGTGCTCTGACATATTTTGGTTGGTATTGGTCTACCTTCCTTTGTATTCATCTTCAGCCATTTTAAGTTTCCACTGCATGGGGCTCAGCTATTCAGCTCAGTCACCCATTTTGTGACCGACCTTGGAAAGTTGCTTAACAAATCCGATCACGGGTCACGGCGCTTATCCACTAAGCCACCGAGCTACACCCTATTTTCTTTTTTTTTCTTATTTTATTCAAAAGAAACATACTAGAAACATGGATTACTGTATAAATAATTAAAAAAGAAATGTGTTAAGTCGTAGTGAATAAATATTAAATGATTTATTTGTAAACCTTAAATATAAATATTTAAATTAACATCTACTATATATAAAGATTCTTATTCAAATTATCGTAAGGTTCAAGATGTGTTCTAGTTAAGGAAATAGCAGTAATATAAAGCTTCCAAATATTTTCAATAAATTCAGGTTTGAAGAAACAAGTCTGTCTGGTGGACTTTGTGATAAAACCAGCGAGGAGCCTTGTATTGGAGGGTTTGCTCGACTAGCTACCGCTGTACGTGAGGCTATGAATCGGGAACAGGACTCCATACTTCTTAACGGAGGCGACAGTTTCCAAGGCACTATTTGGTACAATATCTTGAGATGGAATGTCACACAAGATTTTATGAATATGCTGCCACACGATGCTCACGTGAGTCGATACTGCTTTTTTTTATTTAAGCCACTCGTTGAATCGTTTATCTAAATTAGATTTACGAACTGATGGCATAGTTTTTCTCATAAGTGCTTTAAAACACCATAGATTGAATTAATTATATTGGTTAAATTTATTATATATATACTCTTTATTGCACTCAAAATTATACATAAAAACAAATAAATTTTTTTGTTACAAAGGTGGGCTTATCTCTAAAAGATATCTCTCCCAGCCAACCTAGGAGTCGAGGGAGAGTAAGATGTAATCGGGTGGTAAAAGTGCAGTTAAATGATATTACGGTATTATTGGTAATAAGTAGTATTCATTTTATCTAAAAAAGAATGTTGAATAACTCTTTGCGGGTTATGAGGAGTTCATGAATGTGTTAACCAACTGGTGAATTTCCCAATTTGGAAACGCAAAGTGAACATAACGATAAGCCAGGTAATTTTTAATTTACAGGTACTTGGTAACCACGAATTCGACAATGGTATCGAAGGGGCTGTACCTTATATAAAAGCATTGAATTCAACAGTGGTTACAGCAAATATGATCGCTGATGATGAACCTACTATTCAAGGAATATACAAACCTAGTACTATTGTGGAAAGGAATGGGAAAAAGATCGGTATAATTGGTGTTATTATATCTTCCACTGATGTAAGATAATATTTTGTTTCTAACATAGCTTATTTGTTTAATCTTTGTGAAGATAATGATATATGAATGCTTAAAGTGTAAAATCATGTGATGACTTGAAAGTACAAATTTTTGGGGATTCTGTACAAATACAATGAATGATAGAAGGCATGTGAAATTTGATATCATATCCCTATATCTTAATTATCTAGATAAAATATACCATAAAGATTATTTATCAGAAGATGTTATCTTGAGCAAATTATAATTTTAGTGTCATAACAATTGTTTAAACCGTCTTTTATGACTAACATATTAGTCAAATAACATATTAAATAAATTAATTATAGGAAATAAAGAAGGTGAGAAACATCTTAGTGAATTTACAGTGCAGAATGTTTCATCGCTCAAGGAAGATTACTGAAATCTTTTTAATAAAAATAATCTCAACAATAATATTAGGAATCAATAATTTAACTTTTAATTATCAACAGGAATTAGCATCGACAGGAAAATTGAGATTCACTGATGAAGTAGAGACAGTGAAAGCTGAAGCTGAAAAATTGAACCTTCAGGGCGTGGACGTAATTATAGTTTTGTCTCACTGTGGCCTAGATATCGATAGGTAAATTATTATTGAAACTTAGTTGTTTTTTCTTCTCTTCACTCTGTACTTAGAACTTTAGCCTTATAGTTTTTATCTTTTTTTACGAGTGATTTCTATATAGGGGCCAGTATTCAATATACGCTTTCGGTCTGCAATGTGGATGAAGCAACTTTCCCAAGGACCGGTCACATATGTATATTGTAGAACTATTTAATGCTTTCATATTTCACGATCAGCAGTCATCTCAATATTAATTGCTTTCTTACACATAACATCATCAATCTATATGTTTTAATAGTACCACTGCTGGAGTATAGGCTTTCCCATGAAAGGAATTAAAGAGGAAGAATGGGTCACTATCCACTATAAGAGCCTATTACAGATTAGTAGATTTTACCAACTGGATGTGAAGCTCGAGCAAATGTATTGAAATGCCTTCCGAAGCATGGAGGAGCTCAAGATATATTTTTTACCCATCTATTCTATCTTAGCTTCCCCTTACGTAGATTAAAATGTGCCAACAAACACTGCGCCATCAAGCTGTTTCTTTAATTGTACAGGTATCAAAAAGTGCGATATTATGTAAGTTATTTTGTTATTTCAGAGAAATTGCACTTCACGGAGGTCCTTATATTGATATAATTGTTGGTGGTCACAGCCATACACTATTATATAATGGAGAGCCCACTGATACTTCTGCATTCAGTCCCCAAGGACCTTACCCTATTGTTGTGGAACAAGAATCGAGAACGGTAAAGAAACGTTGCAAAATAAATTGGTTTAATAAATCCAGCTCAGTATTAATATTTTGTTATGTGCTTTGGGATAAATAGCATTAGCCTATGTTCTCACTGCTAGGTTACAAGCATTGCTGTGTTTCATTTTCCGTTAATAATGCCCTTCTTCACATGATAAACGGGCTATTGGTGGTTTAATTTTGTTTTTACATATAATTATATTGTTTTCTTTGAATTGTACTATGTCAGACGGTCGATATTTTAACACTTTTCTCTTCTTAGGTACTTATGTTGAGATGAAAATAGCATCGTATATTAGCAATCTCTGATCTGAAATGAAAATAAGCATGTGCATTTCAGGTATTAATTGTTCAAGCTGCAGCCCATACCATATATTTAGGTGAAATCAAATTGTATTTTGACGATTCTGGTAATCTCCTAAATTGGGTTGGTAATCCTCATTATCTTGGAAGTGATATCGAGCAGGGTACGTTGTAAAAATTAATTGAATTATTTTAGGTTGTTTTATCATTCATTCTCTTGATGATCTTTTTTTTTTGATAGATAGATTGATAGAGTTTTGGAATGATCTATAGAGCAATCGCCTAAATCATCTAGCTATAACTCTAGCTATATGATACGACTTCTTAATGGTATTAAAGCTATTTCGTTTAATTTTACTACTTTGATATGTACTTTAAACCGAAGAAAGAATTATAAACTCTATGCTAAAAATAACATAATTAACGTATTTTGAAGCTTCAATCTTTATGTTTATAATTAAACTCAATTCGATTGGTAAAAAAATATTTATTATTGAAATTCTCTAAAAACGCTTTGAGACGAGCTTGACAATGCGTACCTACAAGGTCATGTTTCTGCTGTTTCATATATTATGCAATTTTATTTTATTTTTTGCCTTTATTAAATTTAGGTTTGATAAATTTAGGTGTGTTCGGCACCAGAGACGACAACTGATAATTTGATTTCATGATAACAATAGTAATCATATTTCAGCTCCTGATGTACTTGCAAAGATCGATGAATATATTCCACTGATAGAAGAAATGGCAAATACTCCAGTTGGTAACTCATTAGTATTCTTAGATAGCAGTTGTGCTTGTAAAGAATGCAACCTTGGAAATTTAATTTGTGATGCATTTATGCATTCGGTAAGTTCAATTCTATTGTATGCTTAAATTATTTATATGCTAGTTTGTATGTCAGTTAACTCTTTAATTAAGTAAACGTGATTGATAGAATGTTTACGTGTGACCTGAATTAACATAAAGAATACTTTTAATCAAAAGTTTATCGACGATTACTTTTCCGATGACTATGAAGACCATATCTGGAAGCATTAAATTTTAAAGTATTTTATAGATCAGATTACAAAGCGTTAAACAATATTCCACCAAAAACATATCCAAGGGTTGATTCTCAAATATGTTTTTCTAAACTATTTGATTGTTTTAGGTAATGGACAGAGCGGAAGGCGATAATTGGCATTACGCACATTTTTGTGTCATAAACCAGGGTGGGATTAGAGCTGCTATCACACCAGGAAGTAATATTCTTTATTTGATCTAAGCTATTTTTAATAACCATTCTTTCATATGTCACTTATGTCCAGTTGATATTAACTATGCCATTCGAAAATACATATTTATCAAATAATTTCATGATAACAATATTTTGCTATCTTATTAGTCAACTATATAGTCAACTATCTTATTAAAAACTCACTAACACAAGATATTAGGTATTTCATCAATTATGCATCTGAGAAAAAGAAGAGTTATCTATTTCTATATACAGTATAATAAAATGCGGTTTTTATCAATCTAAAGAGTGATTTTCGAGAAAGGTTTATTTAAATGTAAAATAAAAGACCACGAGAGCGAGGTCGTTGAAAGAAACCTAGTTCCTAATATAACTCTTCTTTCAGATGTGACGTATGCTCAATTATTATTAACGATACCATTCGAAAACAGAGTGGAAGTATTCGAATTAAAAGGTGAACACATAATAGAGATGCTCGAGTTCTCTGTAGCTAATCAACCTTGGCCAGGCGCTAGAATGCTGCAAGTATCAGGTAAAGAAACCTTTTTCATAAAATATTGAACCTTTTTTATTATTTTATTTTAGAAAATAATTTCAAAAATAGTTTTTATTTTCAGTCAGAAAAATGATTACATTTTTACGACGATCAATCGGATCACTACACTGATATGTTTTTCTCTAATGTTGAAATGTATATTTTTACAGTTAAAACTAGTTTTTAGTTAAAACACGTTTTCCCTAGTTAGAACTAGAATATTATATAGATATACTTAAGAAAAACTAAACGCTCTTTTTAAACTAGGATAAACGAATGCTCAAAATGACATACCAGTTAAAACTAGTTCTTACTTGACAAGACGCTTTTTTCATTCAGTAAAAATATATAGTAAAAACAACTTTATTTTTTATTTATCTGATAACAAAAATACTTTATTTGCTCTGGAAAAACGCGTTTTTTCTAGTAAGATCTAGTTTAAACTTACATACAAATTTGAGCATTTGTTAATTATAATTTTATCAAAGGCATTTTGTAAATACTCGGGAAAACGCGTTCTAGTTCTAACTGTAACATATACACGAAGAAACCGTTTAAAAGCTTATGAATATTGACTGTCAAATTTTATTGAAAGTATTTTGTCAATGCTGAAAATGTTTTTAAGTTCATAAGGAAACTGGGCAGTTTTTAAATACATAAATATTATCAGATAACTAAGATATTTAATCACAGTCTTGAATTTTAATTACGTTCATCCTCAATAATTTGTTTATATTAAGTAGTTCTTTGGAAAATATGTTAATTCCAATATTGCTAATTTCATTTATTATTACCGTGTTGTATACATCATTATTACTTATTACTATAGAATATTCTGTAATCAATTTTTATTAATTGAAGATCCTTTTCTTAGTAAAAAATGTCTCTAGCATATAAAAATACATACACAACGCGCGCGAGGTTGTTATTTAGGATGATTCATTTGAATTTAAATAAACAGATTGTAAAAAAAACTTTAGACTTTTTTATAAATACGTCTTGAATTGTCTCGCGTAATAAAAAAATTGTAATATACCTATACGAAATAAAAGAGTTGTCACAGGCAAAATAAACAACAATGAGAATTTGGCAAATTCTTAAATTTCAATTGGCGAATATCAATTTTGATTCTCTTTTTAAAATTACAATCCCAGGAATACGTTCGGTTTTCGATGGCTCACGTCCCGTCAACGACAGAATTATCAGCGTGGCCGTACGTTGCATCGAATGTGACGTGCCTCGTTACGAACCGTTGCAATCGGACAAATATTACAGAATTGTATCCCAGAGTTTCATGGGCGGTGGCGGCGACGGATTTTCAGTGAGTCTTAACACAGTGACCATTATCATCATCATCATCATCATCAGCCCTTTTACTTCCACACTGCAGGGGCTCAGGCCTTCCTTATGGATGCTTAAGGAGGAAGGGCCACAACAATCCACGCTGGCCCAATGCGGATTGGAGGGTATTAACGACTGCAAATGCAGCTGGGACCAACGGCTTAACATGCCTTCCGAAGCACGAAGTAGCTCAAGATAATAATTTTTTGGTCACCCATCCCGTGACCGACCCTTGCGAAAGTTGCTTAACGACAACGATCGCGGGCCGCGGCGCTTATCCACTATGCCACCGAGCTACTTACCATTATCATCACCAGTCTATTTATGACTCTACTGCTAAGGCGCAAGCCTTCCTTACGGAGGGAATCGAATATAATCGAAAAGGGAATGGAAATAGCCGTGATCCACGACTGCAGATGCAACCGATACCAATGGCTCAACGTGCTTTTCGAAGCACAGAGGAATACGAGAAGTTATATTTTTGGGCACCTATCCTATGACCGGCAATCTTGAAAGTTGCTTAACAACCGTATCGCAGACCAAATGTGCTAGCCATTGAACCGTCGAGTTCCCTATGACACAATTAAAAACAATTTATTTGCAGAAAATGACAATTCATAAATCTGTAATTTATTCTGTTAAATGCTGTTAAATGATATTTCATCTGTGACAACTCTTTTAAGGTAATAGTGACTTCACCGAACAAAGAAGAAAGCCAAGTATTATTTGCTAAAACTTTCCTTTTGAAATATAATAACGGTCGTCCGTTATTTATATAATTTCATAGAGATTCATAGTGAATTTATAAGGCACTATGGATTGATATTACTCAATGATCCCTTGATCTCAGTATAATGCGCACTCAACCGTCTGTATTACCATAATATTGTATCCATAATGGATGATACTCCAACGATCAGATTTCCAAATATGTAATAACCTCTTGTACGATGGTAAGAAACTCTTTAATAAGATTTTTCTTCTACTTCTACTCTTGTTAGTATCGTAAAATGTAATAAGGGTTTACACTTTACAATCTGCTGGCTTTCCACCAGTGGTCCTCAAGGAACTGTTTAGTGTGATGAAAAAATCATATAATTATATTAATTCAGGCTTAAAATTATCCATATACCGAATTTCATCAAAATTCGTTCCGTAATTTTTGCAGGAAAAAGTAACAAAAATCATCAAAAATTTTCGCATTTATAATATTAGTAGGATATGTTGATCAAGGTGCTGTTGGCCGAGTAGGACAAGTAAGGATGTTTTAGAAGAGAATTCTCCTCCCGCTAGGCGGTGATAGTGTTGTTGTAGGTCAAATGCTAGCCATGTGAAAAATTTAAAAAAAACAGAATGGTGCAGGTGTATAATTGTACAGAGCAATTATTTGAAATAATATAGGTATTAAGCCGCCGAGTAATTAAAATATTGACTGAGAAATAGATCTGTAAAAAAAAAGTTATAAATACGTTATATTATATACTTTGTACTCTTGAAATTAACATTTAGGAATAGTCTTGGCTTTTTTGGTATCTAACCTGCTCTCATTTACCTATTAGCACTATGAGCGTGGCCTTATATATTTATTAATTTAATTTAAAAAAAAAATGTGTTGAATATATTGAACCAATAAGGTCTCGGTAACTTAAGCGTAGTATGTGACTAAATTTATTAAATTTATATACTCGCACATTGCGAGGCCAATTTTGGGTGTAAATGTATCATACTATGTTTTTTTCATATGGTGATATTTCCTAGAGTTAGAGAAGAGAGGCGGAGGTAGATTAGAGAGATGTATTTGCGGGGCAAGAATTTACGGTTATTTTCTCGTAAAATAATACTCAAATAGTATAACGTGTATACCATGTACGTCTGAGGGCTAATAGACGTCAAGTACTTGAGGTATACCATGGATATTTCAGACAAGAATAAGAAACAACTATGTTATTGGATTAAAAAGTCTTTGTTAGTCTTGTACTTGTACGCATGAACTGTGTTTATTGTAGCAATTACAATCCAGTTTCTTAAAAATACGAAAAAGAGTAATGTATTTTACTAGCAATTAGTACAATACTGTGATTGTATCCAAATATTGCATAAATGAAAGGAAAATTTCAGGTATAAGAACGGTTTTTGATGGCTCTCAACCAGTCGGCAGTCGTGTTGTTAGTGTGACCGTACGCTGTATAGAATGTGACGTACCAAGATATATACCATTAGATCTCAATAAGTATTATAGGGTTGTCTCCCAGAATTTCATAGGAAATGGCGGCGGGGGATATCATGTGAGTTTGAAATGTTATCCCAATGTTTTAAGAAATATTTCACCAACCAAAAGAGTTTTTTATTCATTCAAATTATCAATGTATTTAAAAAAATTAAACAATTATGTGCTCTATTTAGTATCTAAAATTTTAAAATTGATTTTTTGTATTATATCTATCTAAATAACTATTTAATTATTTCAATTATAATTCGCTATCAGTTATTTAGATTCAATGCTAAATTATTAATATTTTTAGTGTCACGTATCTTTTTAATTATATTTTTACCACTTGTATGATAATTGATAATTTATTATGTGCATATTTAATGTATTTTTCTTCTTAATTGTCATTTAACAGCACTTAACAATCAATGGTGTTATTATAACAGACTTTTATGTGGCCCCAGGTGATTGTGTTGAAATTAATAGTATTTTAAATTTTCAGATGATATCAAATAACAGACGGAACGTTATAGAAGTTGGATTAGACTACGAAGTGGTGAAGAATTATTTTGAACACCAGTCGCCTGTATTCGTGGACATAGACGGACGAATGCAAATAAGTGATCCTTGTATTGTTTGATTAGAAGTAGCAAATAAATCTGTTTTTTTTTATCAAAACTGTGTGTGATTTCAGTGAGTGAAATATCGAAAGTAAGTACTTTACGGCAAACTAACGGAAATTTACAGAAAATAGGTTTGTGGACGAAATCAGATTTACAAGCGAAGCTAGAAACCTCCATTACGAGACAATTTAATTATAGAAACAGTCACCATAGTTGAATTTGAAAATATTTTCGGATACCTATTTGATTATTTGATCATTCAAAGGTCTAGGAAGTCATGGTGAGGTTCAACATTGGAAATATAAATAATTTTATTGTCTGAATTGTTTTGTACATTTTGGGCACCAATTGACAAGAAGAGAAGACTAATATTGTCCCCACAACGTCAATCTTTGACGAGAGTTAAATTATTAAAAGAGGAAATTTCCAAAATTTTGTGAATTAGATTCTGAATAAAAAATATCGTAAAACTAAATTAGAGGTATATTTCAATGATCCATGAATGAATTCATGATTTGACTGTGACCAAACTCTTAAAAATGTCACGTGATTTTGTGATTCTTGCAGCTTTAATTTCAGCTTATTTGAAAATAGCATTAAAGCCATGCATTCTTGATAATGTACGAGTATGATAACATTAAATAAATGTTAACTAAATAACGGAGTAGTTACTTTGACTGAATCAAAAGTTGCTATCCGATTTCTCGTCTTGCATTTATTTGCAGAACTGGAGAATTAAGTATTCAATTCAAGAGCATCGTACGGAATGTATGTTCAAGACATTGATATCATGTCTTTATTGCCTGCAGATGCTCCGTAAGGGAACAGAGAGATAGCTCTGCGCATTGTTTCTTGTTAATATTCTTAAGCTTATTTATGATACACTGTAAGTACAGATGGAAATTTTTCAGTCTAGTCGACGTTTATAATCCGCTTATAACATTAGTTTGGAAAATGTATGAGGAACAAGCACCTCAGTATTGTCTTCTTATTTTGTCTATTACTATTTCTTATTTTGTCTTCTTTTTAACAAACGTTAAAAAGAAATAAGATCTTAATTCGACTGAATGTATTTTTTTTGTTATTTATGCTTATATTGTGAAGCATAAATTTGTTAGTAGTGAGCCGATAACGCTGATTCTTTTTTTGTTTGAAAGAGTATTATCTCAAAGGAGTTCCATCAAAACCGTCGAAATGCGATCAGTAGTTTTGTTTTATATAAAAAAACTGGGAGAACTATATTTCCTACATTATCTTAAAAATTAATTGTCACTGAAAATAATAAAAAAGTCTCTATTCTTTCCAAGATATCATGCTTTCTTCATAGCAAATTTCATGTAAATAGGTTCAGAGGGAGTTACATTAGTTGGTACTTTATCACTTCTCTTGTAAAACAACTATACTTTATAAATACTGTAACTTATAGTAAGCCAACGATCATAACCTTGATGCCAAAGCGAAGGTTTATCTCTGGAGCTTATTAATTTAAAAATATGGAGTTTCCAAATATTATCTATGATTGTCAAAATTGAATTATCTTTTAATACAGTTTCACATGGTTAACTGGTACTTAAATATCAGCATTAAAAGCATGATAATTCTCATTTTTAATAAAATATAAAAAAAGTTTTAAAAGACGTATTATTCCAACGACGAACTAAAAATAAAACAAATAAATTGTATTATGACTGGCTAAATAAAATTCTTATTGCAGTCGGGGGACAGTTCTGTGGAACATTTGTAATCTAATAGATATTTTGTTAATCCAAACCATAATACAACTTGTTTCTTTTAGTGTGATTTTGGCCGTTGTGTTTATTTAATTATTTTTTTTATATTTTTTTATTTTTTGTGTGCACCTAATTATTTATAAAAATTGTATATTTTTGTAATACTCGTTAAGTCCTTTAATTCGATACCCTATATCGCTATAATTAAAGAAAAAAAACATATTTTTTAAATAGCATCATACATCCGCCATATTTAATATTTAAAAATATATTGTATATATCTATATACAGCCAGTCTCACTTGGTATGATAAAGTTTCTAATGAAACTCAATAAAGCAATTATGTTTTTTAAAGTTACGGTGGAATATAAAAACTCACATACACACATCAACCCTAAACATAATACATTCCTTTTATTGCAGTTGCATAACAATGGGAGGCTAAAGGATTATATTACATTTTTAATATTAGTTATTTTATGAATATATTGTATTAAAAATATAGTGAAATTATCAAAAAGATTTCTCACACAACTCAAAAATATAGATTGGCTGTTAGCAATTCCAATAAATGTTTTGTAACTTAGAGATAAAGTAAATGTTGCTGTACAGTTCGAAATCATGAAAAATATAGTTAGTCAGTCTTTGGTTAAAAACTTTCTTTCTTTTAAATTACCAATATATTTAACTAATACAAAGTAAACCTCTAGAGGTACTACCGTCTATCTCTAAGTCACATTAAACACGATAGCAGTAGTATTTTTTCTTACAAAAATAGTATTACACGCGCTTATCACTGATGCATCCTATGTCTAAGGGCTAAAGTCCAAATTCATGACTTTTCAGGAGAGACTCTTACAGTGCTATTAATAAACAAGGTTTAGCGTCAGAGTAAGTTTACGCTGAAATTGCATTAGTCCAAAGTATTAGTCCAAATTCTTATTATAGAGAGAATAAGCAAATCTAACCTTCTATGCGTAAATATTACTCGCGTACAACCTCGTACTTGGTAAACCTTTGCCAAGTCTCTGTTTAATAATATGAATTTTGTGTAATACTAAGTGCAGTCTCATCGTAAATTTACTCCAACGCTAAACTTTGTTTATTGATAACACTATTACAGTTTTAAACGATATATTTTTAATGTTAAAGTTTTGTTTTTTTAATTTCATCATAAGGTTTTTATTGATTTTAAAGTGTGTTAAACATGTCCTTCTGCTATATATCAAAACAGTGTTGGTAATAACTATAAAAATATTAAATTAATTTAATGCATTTCATCTATAGTATTTTATAAAGAGCTTTTTACCTGGAAGTAGTAGTTAAAATTTGGTATTTTTTTTCTTTGTATCTTCGGAAATATTATTATATTAGATAACCGAGGGTGACATAGGCTTTAATTTATATTTTTTGGTTGTGGGAAAATATCATAGTTATTAGGAAAATAAAGGAAGAACAAGTATTTATCGTCAACAAGTAAAAAATACATTATAACAAAATTATAGATATAAAAAATATAATATCACTTTAGCTTTGAATAAGGCGGTAGGGGACTAGTTCCAGTTAGCGATGGCTGCCCAGCGAACCATGTAATTGCTCTCCACATCCTGAAACACAGTGTTTAACGTGGATCATTGACGTTTAAATACAAACGGACATACTGTACTTTTAATTGACTTTAGATTGGTTTCTGTTATGTAACATAAAGTTTAATAACGTTCATAAGAACATTTAACAAATTATTTAATGATATTATTATATAATTTAAAAACCTTGAGTTTCCTTTATATAAAAAAAAAACTTGAAAAAGGGTTATGAAAGTTCCGAAGCACGGAGGGCAATATATATCAAGTATAATAATTTTTAGTCACCCATCTATGATTTCGCTTAACCTGAACGGCAATATCTGCGCCATCGAGCTACCAGAGTATTAGTTATAGTGATTTTTATTAATAGTGACAAATAAATGGTCACTTTCTGGCCTAGAATATTTCATCTTATTTACTTACCTCATAATTTCGTCGTATTTTTAATTCTGATATGTTTATCTCTGATATTGAGCATAGATTAATGACACTAGCTTTTCGAGCGAGGAACGTCTATTTTTGGCTAGAGAAAAACTATCGTATTTCTTTTGCTAAGGTCCACGCTGTGTAGCAAACTTTAAAATTAATTCAATAGTATGGCGTAAAAATATAACAGACACAGATATATAGTTATTTTGGCTTTATGATAATATTATAGATTTGTTTTCTATTATAAGATTCCAAAGTAGTAAAAAGGACAAGTGCGTGCTTAACTCGCCTATCAGTGATTCCGTACAAATATGTATTACATAACAAATAGTTCTGGAATAGAATAAAATATATTTACAAACTAGCTGTGCCCGCGACTTCGTCTGCGTGGGAAGTATTTTGGTAGAATTCTTTTTTCCTATGTATGGAGTCCAATCAAATAAGATCAATGGGCCATAACCCACTATGCGGGCTTAATGCGGATCGGTGGGTGTTAACGTTGCTGATGCAGCCAGGACTAACGGCTTAACGTGCATTGTGCCAGTGTTGTGCACAGTGCTCAAGATAATAATTTTTTGGTCACCCATCCTGTGAACGGTCCTTACGAATGTTTTTTCTTCTCGTTTCTCGCGCTCTGGTAGTCGCTTGTGTCTGAGCATTTTATTCGTACCTTTAAACTGTCCTTTTGTTTTTGACCATTTTAAACTATTATTATTTGTCTAGTTGTTTGCATAATCGGCTATTTATTTTTCTATTTTCCATGTAATGCTAGATTGCCTGGAAGAAATCGCTGGCTAGCGATGAGTTTGTCTTTTGTACTTCGATATGTAAAATAAGTATTCATGTATGTTCTTGTTGTGCAGTATTTACTTACTTATTTAACTACAATTTAAACCGAATGCGCTAACCCACTACGCCATCGGACCTCATATACCTAAGCTATACTAATATTATAAGTTTGTTTGCATCGAATTTGCTCCAAAACTACTGGACCGATAGTTTCAGAGCGATTCCGATACGTGAAGCTATATCATGGATGTCATAGGCTATATAATTTTGCGGGATAAAGTCGCGGGAAAACAGCTAGTTCATTATACCCTGTGAAAACTTATCTGCGGTACGCTTGTGGAGTATGAAGGCAACACGAGCTGGCGATAATCGTAACTCCTTCTCGATCTCTATTGTGCAAACCGCGAGCTCTTTCAGAGACCAAGCGCATTTATCTATCAAAGGAATCAAACGCTAGGAGATCAAACGCTTGTTGTATAATTT